AAAAAATGGCTAGATTAATGAACGAAAAATTGTTCAACCATGAAAAACAAAAGTGTAAATGCTTTGAATAAACTGTCACTGCCCTCTCCCTGCTGAACTCACCTCTGACTATAAAATTATTTTGCCCCTTTAAAAATATAATTATAAAATGATACACAAAAATTCATCTTCTAAACATAATGAAATACCACATAAAATTTAAGCCAACTAAATTGGCAATGAAGGGGATTTGTTAAGGTACTTAAGCCCCACCCCCTCGAAATTCCATACATAAACCCAATCCCATCAGCTCTAAAAATTCTCAACCTACAGAACAATTCCTTTTCTTGGCTTTCGCTACTGGAGTGGGACCGATAATCCCCTTGTTTTTAAATTCTCCCCTTCCTCCATTTCTTTACTGACACTCTAGTGCATTTCCCACCTTCTGAAGTGCTTGCTACTCTGCCTCCCTCACCCCGTAAGAAGCCTTCCCCAGCCCTGCGCACTCTACCCTCTTCACGACCGCTTTCTATTCCCTTGGCATCAACTACCATTTCCAGAAACGTGAGTCACAACGTTCCCATTCAATACTCATGGCACCTACCACCTCCACCAGACTCTCTGCTGAGTCCTGTACTTTCATCTGGATAAAACCCAACTTTCTCCTAATGTGACCACTATGGCCTTTTCTTTTATCCCCACTTACATCCAGTCAGGCGGCCAGATTTTGTCGATTACCTCACCTTGCCTTCTCAGGAATCTGTCCCCATTACTATCCCCAATCACCATTCCCCCTCAGCTTTGTATTTCCTGATCCCTTGGGCATAAAAATAGCCTTGAGTAGCCCAATCACTTTTAACTAGATTTAGGTGAGCAGCGATCAACAACTGTTTTGACTAGTTATGTTCCCTTCCATTTTGTCATATTAAAAACTCAAACATAGTGCCAGGCATAGTGGTGCATGCCTATAATTCCAGCACTCAAGAGGCTGAGACAGGAAGATCATTGTGAGTTCAAGGCCAGTAGACAGTCGTTTTTTTTGCCCTGCCATCTTTTCCCAACTGGACTTTTAATTCAGTTCCAAATTGGTCATTCCTATAATTGTTAACCTAGTAAGTGCTTCTATCAAAACCCTTCTCAACAAACAATGTCTCTATATTAAGAAATCCTTCTGATGGTGGATTAGAATTTCTAGATTTTTTAATTTTTGAATTAGTGGATTCTCATTTTCATGTTACTTTATTCAAGCTAGTAAATTCTTCCCTTAGGTTCCTGGTAACGTTGTAAAAATCACATACTGCGGTTTTACAGTTTTTAAAGCATTTTAAATACTGATAAGCAATGAACCTTCTTCAGTACTGGGGATTGAACCCAGAGCCTTTGAACTGAGCTACATCCCTAACCCTTTTATCTTTATGAAACAGGGTCTCAGCTAAATTACCCAGATGGAACTGGAACCGGCATTCCTCCCGCCTCTTTTTTTGTTTTCTCCCCCTCCTGCCTCTTAACATGTTCTACCAGTTTGAACCGCCAGTGATACATGCACAACTGTCCCATCAGGCAGCTTATACCACTGGTGGTACAAGTGGACTAATCACTTTTATCAGTCTTTTTACTAATAAAATTAATAAAAAGCCATCTGATGGGACAGTCGTGCATGTACCACCGGTGGTTCAAGCTGCTCCAGCCAGACATATGGATTATGGCCCTGTTGTGAAATGTGTTAATAACTGTCATGCCTGATCAACAAAACTAACTTGACTAATAATGATCCTACTCTCTATCTCACCTAAATGAACACATGATTATTACTGCTTTTCCTAAACACATTACTTTGGGTCTGTGAGATGGTGTAAATGTAGGGCTCACACTGACATGGTTGCTGCACGTACATCTTAAACATTGGTAAGAAGATTAACAGTGGGCCTTTCAATAACTAGAACAACTTTTAAAACTTGGCAACTGCAGAATTATGAAGTGTTTTTATCTTTTGCTAATATAATTAACAACATGCTTTGCACATATAGCCCAATATATCTTTTAATCAGCATTAACAACAACCAAAAAAAAGGAAGGGGGCAATGCAGGGGCTGGCTTGTAATATACCTGTTTCACAAAACCAACATTTATAGACATACTCCAGGTTAATGATCAAGAAGCATGTTCTAGCTGAGTGTGGTGGCACACACCTGTAATCCCAGACTCAAAAGGCTGAGGCCAGAAGACTGCTTTGAATTGGAAGCCAGTCTGCCCAACAGAGTGGGTTCAAAGCCAGCCTCAACTACACAGTGTAATCCTGTCTCAAAAAAAACACCAAAAAACATAAATAAATAAATAAAAAGTTTTTAAAATTTTATATTCATCCTCTGGAACAAAGCTAAGAAGCCAGTTCATTTTTGCCGAAAAAATTGAAGCCTGGCTTTCTTTCAGCAGAATGGGAAGACGATAAAGGAAAAGGAAAAAAAAGACAAAAAAAGGTTTTAAAAATTTAAAGCTGGGCATGATGGTCCACATGTATAACCCCAGCAGCCAGGAGGCTGCAGGAGGATGACAATTCATGGGGAGCTTAGGCCGCAGCAGCAGGCAGCCTAGACTCCCTAGCACGGCAGACTGGGGGAGGGGGGTTGAAAGTATCTACAATTCTATGCTAGCACCTTGAGGGAAAATGTAAACTACCAGCATTAACTCTTAAGTAAGAGATGGAAAACCCGATAACGATGAAATTTTGAAATTTTTCCCAAAGCTATCTGAACTACACCAGGGCATAACTCTCAATTCCTTTTTACAAAACTAATTTACCTTTTAAAACAAAACTTTACAAAAATAATTTAACTCAGCTACAAAGGTAGTTGATTATGAATTCCAAATATCTGCAAATTTGATCCATCATGCACATAGTAATACACACCCCAGTACACACACAGAGACCCTGAGGCGGTATCATCCTAGAGCTGAAGAGTGCAGCCAAATAACGACCCACATGAACAAGTCCGAAAGAAAACCCTGATATTCTCAACAGATGCTGTAAAGCTGAAATTCAACATCTATTTTTTATTTCAAACAAGTTATCCAGTCAAACTAGAATATCTTCTTTACAGAAAAGGAATGAAGCATTGATACATGCTACGACATGGATGACTCACGAAAACATGCTAAGTGAAAGACGCCATGCACAAGAGACCACATATGACAGGATTCCGCTTACATGAAACACCCAAGCGGCAGCACATCTACTGCATCTACGCAGATCAGCAGCTGCTAGGGGTGGAGGAGTTTGGGGGTACTGAAAATGTTCTAAAAGTAACAGCGATAGCTACACAACACTGTATCTAATAAAAACCACTGAGCTGTGTATTTTTAAAGGATAGACTTTGTAACAGTTTTATCTCAATAAAGCTGCTTTAATATACAAGTATATCAATATTAA